AGATGCCGACGAGCAGGGTGAAGTAGGACGTCATGTCGCTGAAGACGTAGGGCTGGTCCATGTCCACTGGGGTTTCGGGGGCACTCACTGAGGGCAGCCCCCTCTTCTCCACGATCACACCCTTGGACAGGTATGAGCTCCAGAGGTTCTCTGTGAGGAGGCAGGTCAGGCAGTGCCACCGGCGTGAGAAGGTGCCCGTGAGTCCCCATACCCAGCACAGCACCCTGCACCCCACAGCACAAAGGGATGGAGCCAGGGGGCATCTGGTGCTGCCTCTCCTCACCCCAGCCTTGCTGCACAGCCACCCTGGCCAGGGGCCAAGGCCGTGAGCATCCAGCGGGTGAGAGACAGGCCTGGCAGCTCAGGTGGGCAACCAGAGCAGGTCTGTGCTGCTGCTGGCAGCACCTCCGCAAGATACTGGAGCAGCTGACATGGGATTGCAGTAGCAAATAATTAAGAGGGTAATATAATTAATGCTGATCAACACAGGTTTAAGGGAAGTGGATCGTGTCAAAGTAACTTGATAATGTTTTTGATGGGATTACGAGTGTGGGGCTGATGTAACAGGCTTAGTGTCCCGCCACGTGCTGGCTTGGCTGCAAATTGAAGGGACGAAACTACTAGCCTACTCATCCGACCCTTGGCTCTAGGTGTTCGCTTAACAGCCACATAGCACTGCTGGGGGGCTGCAGAGTGGGGCAAAGGGGCCTGCAGGGACCAGCCCTCAGATCCCAGCGCTGAGTCCTCCTCCCCAGCCACTCACAGGTGACAGGCTGGGCTGGCAGACCCCGCTGAACCTGTCTGCCTTGTCCTCCCAGAAATATGTTTCGTCCTGCAAAGACACCCCTCACCTGGGGCACAGCAAGCCACTAACACTGGCCACCTGTCTAGAGATGCTATCACCCTCACCACCAGCTGCCCCAGAGCAGGGTCTCAGCTCTACCCCAATGCTCCAGGTACAGGAGTGTTCACTGCCTACTGCCCTGACAGAAACTGGCCAAGTGGGTGGGGGTCCGTGTCCTCTCCCCAGCAGCACTGTCATCACTTGGAGCAGGCTGTACCCAGCATACAGGGACTTCTTATCTGCACCACAACACCTTAGCATGGGATGCCACTGGCAGTCTCTCCAACACCCAGTGACTGCTCCACCAACCACCACGACAGCCGCAGCCCCAAGCACCATGCACTTAGCCAGGCCTGAGCTCCCACACCTGGGTCCATGCCACTGCCATGGCGAGACAGCTGGAGCAGACCCACAGCCACCAGGAAGGACTGATCCTGTTCGTGGCTCATCTGCACTCCTGAGTCCTGACAACCACCCCGGCACAGGGGTCTGCAGACACCCTCTGAACACGGCACAGAACATCAGTCTCCACCACCTGCTGCCAAGCGTGAGCACCTGGCAGATGTACCAGGATCTCCCGAAAAACAGGTCAGAAGTGGCTCCTCCCAGCAAATTCCTGCGTCTTTCCGTGGCCCTGGCCATTTTCCCAGCACGGCTGTGGCTGCAGCAGCAAAGTGCCCCCAAGGGGCGATCGCTTCTCACAAAACCTCAGATCAATATCAGCTTTTCCAAAGGCCAAGAGAAAGCAGAGGGAGAATTTATTCCTCCCCAGCCTCTGGGCATCCTCTGAAGCCACCCCACTGGCTGACAGAGTGGGTGGCTGCAGTGCCCTGCTCTGTCACCTGTTGCAGGAGTCTGTCCCACTGCCCAGCACTGCGTGAGCACAGCCCACGATGCCCCAGAGCGGTCCCTGGCAGGGATCACCCACATGCTCCCTCACCTGGGCCAAGCACTGCCTGCCCCCACAACAGCTGGCAATGGCCAAGGGGACACTCTCATGACATCCACCCATACTGGACCCTCCACCAACCCGAACAGCAATGCTGCCAGGCAGGCATAGCCAGTGCCCCACCACGGCTCTCCTGGGCTTGTCCTACACTTCCATCCCCACACCTCCATCCCCATGCCCATGTCCCCATGCTGCACTCACCTTGGATGAGGCCACTGGCAGCACCGGGAATACCCTCAATCTCTGTGACATTGTTCATGGCAAAATACTCATCACAGGTGGCATTGAGGAAACGGGAGGTGCAGAAGAGCTCCCAGAGCTTGGAGCCCACTGTCTCGTTCCCCTCCACCACCATCTTGGTGCAGATGTCAAAGCCGTGGCGTGAGAGGGTCCTGTTACCCAGGAGGCAGATCCTGGGGGGACACAAGCACTCAGCTGTGTGCCTATGTGCCCCGGCCCTGCTGCAGCCCCACAGGACCCCATACTCACGGGAAGCTTGGCGGGTCAAAGGCTGACTTGATGACACCAGCATAGATGGCAAGGATGGAGAGGATGACACAGCCCAGGAAGACCAAGGCAAACTTGTTGACATACTTGACACCCACAAACACGACGGTGGCCATGCAGGTCAGCACGCAGGTGCCATACACACGCATGTTGTTGAGCATCGCAGCTGCTTCCTCACTAGCATCCTCTGCCTTGAAGATGGCCATGGCTGGGAAGATGTAGGCCTGGGAAAGAGGCAGGGCATCACTGCCAAGCTAACAGCCTGCAGGGAAGGTTCCGTAGGCCCCCCTGCAAAGCCTCAGTTCCTCAATGGGCCATGAGGAGTGGGCAGCATGGGAAGGTGAGAGCAGAACTTCCCTGCCAGGAGCTGAGCCCTCAGTGCTGCATGGGGCAAGGACCAGGCACCTACCAGCAGGATTTCGATGGTGCCCAGTATGTACATGGCGCCGGCAAAGGTGGTGCCCAGGTAGAAGCAGAGCCCCACAGCTCCACCAAACTCAGGTCCCAAGGAACGTGAGATCATGTAGTAGGAGCCACCCGCTGCAAGAGAGAGCAAAGGTGGGTCCAAGCCAGACCCCAGTGGCACCCCCAGCCCTGTCAGGTATCCCAGAGGGCAGATTGAAGCCAGGATGGCCCTGCTCCAGCACTAAGCAGGACACAGTCCCCAGGGCCCCAAAGCAGTGGGAGCAACCACACTGGCAGAGTCATTCCCCAGGAGCCCAGCAGACAGGTGCAATGGCCACGGGGACATGTGTCCCCTGGACACCAGACAGGAGCTGGACCCCAGGGACTTGGGCCATGCCCTGCTCCATCCTCCCAGTGGAGCCTTAGTGCCGGGCTGCAGGGATCGATGGTCCCGCTGCGGCAGCAGGATGATAAATAGCTTTAATTACACCCCGCGCTGGGCTGTCAGTGCCGTGCCCAGCCCGGCGCAGCTGCCCGGGGCTCTGTGGGGCTGGGC